TATTGCATGAAGAAGAGAGAAGACAACAAAGACACATAATGCAGTGTTAATTCAAATGTTTACACTGCTTTTGAATGCCCAGTCCACACTTATTCCTCTAACTGTCTCTCTGTCTCTGTCTCTATCTATGTTTATCTCTCTCTGTCTCTGTCTCTATGTCTCTCTGTCTCTCTGTCTGTCTGTCTGTCTGTCTGTCTGTCTCTCTCTCTCTCCTCTCCTTCCTCCCTCCTTGTCTCTCTCTCTCTCTTCCCCAAAGATTACTCATCTAACACTTACAAGCACTCTGAGGAAAATGACAAGCTTCCTTACTACCTTCTCAATGGGAAACAGAGGCTCCACATGGCTACTGCATCAAGAATCAAAAGCCTGTTTTTCATGCTGTTGATGCTCAGGAGGTCAGTGCTTCTCAAACTGCCTGTGGGAAAGGGGCAATAGCCTTTGTTTCTAATATTCCAAGGGTGAAATCATTGGAGAAATGTAATAAAAGTGAATTGGCAAAAATTGAATTAATAAGAGCATCCTCTGCAAATTGCAATTTATTATCACATACAATAAGCACAGAATCTTCAGCACCGATGTGACGGTAATATTGCCATACTCTATTGTCATGCACTGGTGCCAGCCTACAAAACATTATTCTACTTTGACTTACATTTCTCCAGATGATACCAATTCCTGCCCCAATTCTGCCTCATACAGTCTGAGAGGAAGCCTGTACCACCACCACTCTATCTAGAATCTAGAGAAAAAGATGGCATTTGTTTTAAGTTATAACACAGCAAACAAGGAAACAGTTTTCATTTTTTTCTGTCACGCCAAAGCCAGGACTGATACTAGATTCCCCCTTATCTTACTGACTCCATGATTACTAACTTTTGTCACCCCCCTCAGAGTAGAGTAACCTGAGGCTTCATGCTTGAGCTCTGTTCATTCTTAATGGCTTTTCCAAATGAGGGGAAGGAGACTTCTATGGACTCTTGCCACTGAGCATACTAGGAAAGGAAAAGAGATCTACTACCTATCATATTTCTTCCAGATCCATTTGAACTTCCTCTTATTAGGTAAGCTCAGTCACCACAGATAGGATAGAATTCCATTTTCTGTGATTTTCTCCAACACCAAAAAGCCCAAGCAACTCATTTTATCTTCCAATTCAAAAGAATCATACTTCCCTTCCTCTTGCCCAATCTGGGATCTCCTGGCCTGGGGACTGAAGGCAGGTTGACTCATCCCCGACTCACCAACCAATCTTGAGTCTGCACTGTCCTAATCCAGTTCCCACCCTCTGGGACAGGATGTGTCTCAGAAACACCTGCACCCATCATAAGACTCATCAGAGTATTGGACCTGCTTACACCCACCAGAAGAGAACCTTGGACCTGCACCCACCAGGAGAGGAAGAGACTCCACCTGTACCCACTGAAGAAGGGATGGGAAGGCGATAATATAAGAACACATTCAATAACCAAAAACCAATATGAGGTCACCAGAGTCTAGGGACCCTACAACAGCAAAACCTGAACATCCCAACACAGATGAAGCAAAAGAGAATGACCTTAAAAACAACTTCATGAAGATGATAGAGACCCTAATGGGGGAAATGAGAAAATCTTTTAAAGAAATGTAAGAAAATACAAACCAAATATTGCAAGAAATGTTCAAACAGTGGAAGGACTGAAAGCTGAAATAGAGACAATTAAAAAAAAACAAAGTCTGAAGAATGCTGGAATTAGAAAAGGTGGGTAAATGATTGGGTACTATAGATGCAAGGATAACCAACAGAATATAAGAGATGGATGAGGGAATCTCAGGCATTGAAGATACAATAGGAGAAATAGATTCATCGACCAAAGAAAATCATAAGTCCAACAAATCCCTGATACAAAATATCCAGGAAATATGGGACACCATGAAAACACCAAACCTAAGAATAATAGGTATTGAAGAAGGTGAAGAAACCCAACTTAAAAGTGCAGAAAACATATTCAACAAAACCATAGAAGAAAACTTTCCCAACCTAAAGAAAGACATGCCAATGAAAGTACAAGAAGCCTACAGAGAACACCAAATAGAGTGGACCACAAAAGAGTCCCTCAAAACATAATAATTAAAACACCAAACAACAGAATAAAGAAAGAATATTAAGAGAAGCAAAGAAAAAGTTCAAGTAACACATAAACACAAACCTACCAGAGTCACACCTGACTTCTCCATGGAAACTCTGAAAGCCAGAAAGTCCTGGATAAATAGTCTATAAACAATAAGACACCACAGATATCATCCAAGACTACTATACCCAGCAAAGCTTTCAATCACTGTACATTGGGACAAATCCAGATTTAAACAATACATATTCACTAATCCAGCCCTACAGAAAGTACTGGAAGGAAAACTCCAACCTAAGGAAGTTAATGACACTCACAAAAATATAGGCAATAGGTAATCCCACTTTACCAAAAGCCAAAAGAAAAAGCTGAGTAAATCCACAAACAATACCACTACCAACAACAAATGAAAAACAAACAGGAATTAATTCTCAATGGCCCATAATGTCCTTCAATATTAATGGCCTTAATTTGCTTATAAAAAGACACAGGCTAACAGAATGGATATGAAGACAGAATCCATCCTTCTGTTGCATACAAGAAACACATCTAAACTTCAAAGACTGACATTACCTCAGAGTAAAGGGTTGGGATAAGATTTTCCAATCAAATGAACCCAAGAAACAAGCTGGTCTAGCTATCCTGGTGTCTAACAAATTAGACTTCAAACTAAAATCAGTAAAAAGAAATGAATAAGGTCATTTCATATTCATCACAGGAAAAACCCATCAGAAAGAAATTTCAATTCTGAAGATCTATACCCCAAATTCAAAGGCATCCATGTTTGTAAAAGAAACATTACTAAAACTCAAATCATACATAAAACCTCACACTTATAGTAGGAGACTTCAACATCCCAATCTCATCACTAGACAGGACAATCAGACAGAAATTTAACAAAGAAACAAAGGAACTAACAGAAGTTATGACCCAACAGGTATTAACAGACATCTATAGAACATTCCATCCAAACACAAAAGAACATACCTTCTTCTCAGTGCTACATGGAACCTTCTCTAAAATCGACCACATACTAAGCAAACCTCATACTAAGCAAACATAGCAAACCTCAACAGATACAAAAAAAATTTAACCCATCGGATCACCATGGTTTAAAGTTATAATTCAACAACAACACAAATTGCAGAAAACCTACAAATTCATGGAAATTGAACAATGCACACACAATTGCACCATTCCTGGGTAGAGGAAGAAATAAGAAAGAAACTAAAGACTTTCTTGAATTCAATGAAAATGAAAACAAAAACGTACCCAAAATAATGGTACACTTTGAAAGTAGTACTAAGAGAAAGTTCATAGCACTAAGTGCTCACATGAGGAAACTGGAGAATAATCACACTAGAGATTTAACAGCAAAACTGAAAGCTCCAGAACAAAAGGAAGAAAACTCACCCCAGAGGAGTAAACGCCAGGAAATAATCAAACTGTAATCAAACTGAGGTCAGAAATTATTAAAGTCGAAACAAAGAAAACAATACAAAGAATCAATATAACAAAGAGTTGGTTCTTTGAGAAAATCAACAAAATAGACAAACCTTTATTCAAACTAACCAAAAGGCAGAGAGAGAAAATACAAATTAATAAAATTAGGAATGAAAAGGGGTCCATAACAAAGGGCACTGAGGAAATCCAGAGAATCATCAGGTCATACTTTGAAACCCTTTACTCCACAAAATTTGAAATTTTGAAGGAAATGGACAATTTTCTGGATAGATATCACATACCAAAATTAAAGCAAAAACAGATAAACAATTTAAACAGAACTATAACCCCTAGTGAAATAGAAGCAGTCTTCAAAAAATCTCCCAACCAAAAAAATCCCAGGCACAAATGCCTTCAGTGCAGAATTCTACCAGAATTCAAAGTAGAGCTAATACCAGTACTCCTCAAAGTGTTCCACACAATACAAGCTGAAGGTTCATTTCTGAACTCTTTTGTGAGGTTACAATTACCTTGATACACAAGTCATACAAAGACAAAACAAAGAAAGAGAACTACAGACCAATATCATTAATGAACATTGATGCAAAAATACTCAATAAAATACTGGCAAATCGAATCCAAGAACACATCAGGAAAATCATCCACCATGATCAATTAGTCTTCATCTCAGTGATGCAAGGATGGTTCAACATACAAAAATTCGTCAATGTTATCCACCATATAAACAAACAAAAGAAAAACCACATGATCATCTAACAAAATGCTGAAAAAGCTTTTGATAAAATCCAACACCTCTTTATGATAAAAGTTCTGGAGAGATCAGGGATAACAGGAACATACCTGAGCATAATAAAACCGATATACAGCAAACCAAAAGCCAACTTCAAACTAAATGGAGAGGTACTCAATGCAATTCCTCTAAAATCAGGAACAAGACAAGGCTGTCCACTCTCTCTGTATCTCATCGATATTATACTTGAAGTTCTAGCTAGAGCAATAAGACAGCAAAAGGAGATCAAGGGGATACAAATTGGAAAGGAAGAAGTCAAACTTTCAGTATTTGCAGATAATATGATAATTTACATAAGTGACCCAAAAATGTACCAGGGAACTCTTACAGCTGATGAATAAATACCTTCAGCAATGTGCCAGGATATAAGAGTAACAAAAATAAATAAATAAATAAAAACAGTATCCCTACATATACAGACAATAAATGGGCTGAGAAAGAAATCAGAGAAACATCACTCTTTACAATAGTCACAAAGACCACAAAATGTCATGGAATAACAGTAACCAGACAAGTGAAAGACCTGTATAGCAAGATCTTTGAGTCTTTAAAGAAAGAAATTAAAGAAGACACCAGAAATTGGAAAGGTCTCCCATGCTCTTGGATAGGTAGGATCAACATAATAAAAACACCAATCTTACCAAAAGCAATCTACAGATTCCATGCAATCTCCATCAAAATACCAGCACAATTCTTCACAGACCTGGAAAGAGCAATAATCAACTTTATATGGAAAAACAAAATATCCAGGATAGCCAAAACCACCCTGTACAATAAAGGACCTTCCAGAGGCATCACCAGCCCTGACTTCAAGCTCTATTATAGAGTTATAGTCCTAAAAACAGCTTGTATTGGCACAAAAATAGACAGGTAGACCAATGGAAACAAATTGAAAACCCTGATATTAACTCATACACCTAGGAACACTTGGTATTTGACAAAGAAGCTAAAATTATACAATGGAAAAAAGAAATCATCTTCAATAAATGGTGCTAGCATAACCGGATGTTGGCATGTAGGAGACTGCAGATAGATCCATGTCTATTGCCATGCACAAAACTCAAATCCAAATGAATCAAAGACCTCAGCATAAATTCAGTCACACTGAACCTCTTAGAAGAGAATGTGGGCAGTACCCTTGAACTAATTGGTACAGGAGACAGCTTCCTGAATATAACACCAGTAGCACAGACACTGAGATCGGCAATTAATAAATGGGACCTCCTGAAACCGAGAAGCTTCTGTCAGGCAGAGGACACAGTCAACAAGACAAAAAGGCAGCCCACAGAATGGGAAAATATATTCACTAATCCCACATCTGACAGAGGGCTGATCTTCAAAATTTACAATGAACTTAAGAAGCAAGTCTGAAAAACATCAAAGGATCCGATTAAAAAGTGGGGTACAGAACTAAATAACTAAATAGAGAAATCTCAATAAAGGAGTCTAAAATGGCTGAGAGACAATGAAGAAAGTGTTCAACATCCTTAGCCATCAGGGAAATGCAAATCAAAACAACTCCGAGATACCATGTCACTCCTGTCAGAATGGCTAAAATCGAAAACTCCAATGACAATTTATGCTGGAGAAGATGTGGAGAAAGGGGAACATTCCTCCATTGCTGGTGGGAGTGCCAACTCATACAGCCACTTTGGAAGTCAGTTATAGAGATTCCTGAGGAAAATGGGAATCCGTCTCGCACAAGATCTAGCAATTTCACTCTTAGGCATATGACTGACTTTGGAGATTCCCCCATGAAGGGCCTCACCCTCCCTGGGGAGGGGAGTGGGGACTGAGTGGGGGATTTGGGGGATTGGTGGGGGACAGGGAATGAGGGGGAGAAGGAGCTGAGATTGACATGTGAAGCAAGCTTGTTTTTAACTTAAATTAAAATTTTGTGTATATAAAAAAGAAGAACAAAGCCAGGCGTTGGTGGCGCAAGTCTTTAATCCCAGCTCTCAGGAGGCAGAGGCAGGCAGATCTCTGTGAATTCGAGGCCAGCCTGGTCTACAAGAGCTAGTTCCAGGACTGGCTCCAAAACAATACAGAGAAACCATGTCTCAAAAAACCAAATAAAGAAGAAAAGGAGGAGGAGGAGGAGGAGGAGGAGGAGGAGGAGAAGGAGGAGAAGAAGAAGAACCATACTTATTCCATGATGAAAGAAAGTGTTTCTCCCTTGTGTACTAATGAGCAATGAGTGACACTAAGAGAGGCAGTCAGCCACATCATTGTCTCTTCCACTCCTTGACTTCTAGCTACAGGAAACAGCACTTTATTTTGATCCAGAACCAGATTCGCCCTAGAATTCTGTGAATTGCTCTGTTATCAGGTAAAAGATGTTGTGTAAGGTCCCAGGACTTACTATTAGAGGCCATTTGACCCAGTTACAAGGCTCACATTTTTATCAATAGAAAAGATGAGGCAATTAATTGCTTTTGAATTAGCTTATCAGCTTCATTCTTTAATCAAGGGACTCCCTTCACAACCAGTTTGGAATAATAAGATGAAGTATGAAGTGTTTAGAAGAAAGTCTGTGGTTGGCAGGTCTGGCAGAAGAATAGCCAGGAGAAAGCAGGAAAATGGAAGGCATTTCCATTTCTTAGTGGGAGCAGTTAAGTATAAGGCAACATGGAGCTGATTCGGTTGCTATATCAGAGATGTGGGCAGGTCTAGAAGGTAGACAGGTGGAACGCTCATATATAGTTGCAGCCTTGTCTGCTTTGATGACAAGAAGTCTGTCTATGGAGTGTGCATAAAACCTCTCTTCCTGCTCCAGTGGCTGCATCCTCCATGCTCAGAACACTCTGTTGTTCATCAGAAAGGTCCCACTGCGAAGGAGGCTCTCAGAAGTGTGAGGGAGCATTTGCACAGTCAGGTAAGCCCAGGCTCTTTGGCATGCTTGCTCAATAGGCTCCAGTACGATATTATACTCTGAGTTCATTCTAAGTGACCCATGGTTTCAGAATTTTTTCTTCGGTCTGCCAGTCAGTTTTTTGTTTCCTTGAGTGACAGGCCCCAGAATGGATTCTGAGCCTGTCTTTATGTCCTCTTTCATCAAGAAAAATTAGAATGAGATGTAGTGTTCAATGGCTATCCTCCATAACCTATGGTCCTTTAAAGGTAGTCCTGCCAAGGGGTAGGGGTGCCTATGAAGACACTCTACTTAGTACTGAAGACATTTGTTGCCCATAAAAGCCATTCTCCTGTGCCGTAGTTTATTCTATTACTCATCATTATTGTATGTGTGGAGGTAATGGTAGGATGTCTTAGGTGCTCTTTTATTGCTGTGAAAAGACACTAAGACCAAGGCAACTGACAAGAAAAAGCATTTAGTCGGGGGCTTGCTTCCAGGTTCAGAGGGTATATACATGGCTGTCATGGCAGGGAGTACAATACTAGACAGGCAGACATGGTGATAGAGAATAGTTGAGAGCTTACATTCTGATCCCCAGACAAGAGGCAGAGAGAGAGAGAGAGAGAGAGAGAGAGAGAGAGAGAGAGAGAGAGAGAGAGAGAGAGAGAGTAATGGCTTTGGAATCTTCAAAGTCTACCCCCAGTGACACACCTCCTTCAATAAGGTCATCCCTCTTAGTCCTTTCTAAATAGTCTATCAACTTGGAAGCCAGCATCTAAATATATGAGTTTATGGGAGCCATTCTCATTCAAACCACCACAATTTACTCTCTAACCCTGATAGGCTTGTGGTCATACCATAATATAAAATTTATTCACTCCAACTCCAAAAGTTCCCAAGGTCTTTCACAGTCTCAACACAGTTTCTAATCCAACATCCCTTCTGAGACTCAAGGCAATCCTTTACCTGTAATTCTCTGTAAAATCAAAAAGCAAACTACATATTTCTAATATACAATGGTGCAGGATCACACACATTACCAAAGCACAGTGAGGAAATACTGGACCAAAGCAAAAAATTGAAACCCAGCAGGGCAATTTCCAAATTCGGTATCTATGCCCTGCATCATCCATTCTTTCTAGGTTTGCTGACTATAGCATACTTCTCTCTCTAGGGCTGGCTCTACATCACTGGCATTGTCAACATCTAGGAGTCTTCAATGTAAACCAGGCTTCACCTTTACAACTTCATGAGATGGCCTCAGTAAGCCTTCATACAGCGACTCCCCTGCCACATATCTAGCTTGGCGGCTTTCCCTTAAGTCCTGAGGAAAATTCCACAACCTCCTTATACCCCCCTAATTCTTCCTAAACAGTCCACTAACAGGGAAACAACCATTCAAGTCACCACAAGGGGTTCTCTCCTTCAACCTCATGTGAGTTCCCAGGGATTGAAGTCAAGCTACTTAGTTTGTAAAGCAAACACTTACTCTTTGAGCCATCTTGTCAGCCCCATGCCCCATTTGTTTTCAAAGAAGCTTTTCACAAAGTCACAAGTAAAGGGTAAGGAAGGACCAACAGCCTGCCTGGCAGTCTCAGTGGGCACAAAATCAATGAGCTCATAAAACTCGTTTGTTCTTCGTGGCTTGATGGAATTCTGCCAGGAAAATTCATCTTTTTCCTTCCTTAATTTGCTGTGGTTCTGGATTGCTTACCATGGAACTTAAAATTCAAGTATCTTCTTAATTCAGAATCTGAATCAGTTAGGTTTCTAAAAATAATAGCCCTAGCAAAAGGTAGCAGTCTTTCTCCAAAAATATGCTAATAGAATTTGCCAGAGGCATTTTTCAGCATTGGATCTGCCTTAGTCATTGCATAAACTTGCTCTAATAAGGAGATACCATATAGAATAACAATTTCAAGAAGGATAAACACAAGGTTAAATAATTACATAATGAGAAGTTTTTTTCCCATGACTCAAGGTCCTACTAGGGTCCCAGCTTCCCTGAAGTGACCCAACCTCTGATAGAATTATTTCTAGCTTGGAAGTGACTTCCACAAGTGCCTAGAGTTGCAACAAAGCAATTTCTTAGTATGATATTGCGATTGATTATGAAACCCAATAATTTCATCAGTTTGCCATGCAACATATAGGCAATCAATGCTGATTTCTTTATCACACAAGAAACTGACATCACCAAAGTTAGGTCTAGGTGGAGCAGTTTCATGGATCATGTTGTGAGTCATAAGACATGAAAGTGAGGTTGATTTGTTTGAAGGTGGAGTATCCACAGGATAAATCCTAGTATAACCTTCGTCTACGTGGTATGGGGTGGCACACCTCCTTGGTGAATATGGTCTGCATATGAGTATGGGAAATACCCTCAAAGTTCCAGATGGACTAGGTAATGTATTGCAGTTCTTGAATGTAGCACATATAAAATAAGGTAATAAGTAAGTTATTGTGGCATTTGTGTGACCTTTGCTGTGAGTGATAAAACATACAAACGATGCTGCACTTTCTACCCAGGGGGAACTGCCCTAAATAAGAAAAAGAGATGTGAAGAAGAATCTTCCTTATTAGCCTTGATTTAGCAGGGGAAAATGCTGTTAGAGGAAGAATGAGACGCAGGGAGTGACTTGCTACAGCTAGAGGTGGGGCATACAGGCAAGGGTACACTAAAAACTGTGTTTATTAATCCTTTCCTGAGGTTCAAACACCTGGTAGCATTGGGGAAAATTAGACCATGGGGTAACACAGAGGAAATGAGATAAACACAATAGTCACAGGAGAGGCAATGGGTCATGTCAGATGTACCAAGACAGACACTGAATAGTTAAAGAAAAAGG